CAGCTCAAATTAGCGTTGAATGACTGCGCGCTAATACATGTTTGCAGTTGGGTCAACACAGGTGGAATATGTCCCGGTGTATTTTCCGTCTCATCAATCTTCTGATTAAAGTTTCCCATTGCTGTAAGAGCACGTGCAACAAGGTCTGATTTGGTTGTTTTCTGCATATTGTCCTTGAGATTCATACGGTCTATCCGCCCAAAGATATGTGCCAATTTCGTTTGTTGTTTCGTTCCTTCATTACTATTCCTCTGATCTTGGAAGTCCAACAACAAAGAGTCTACTTCATCTGAACCTTTCTTAATTGCCGTTTAATCAACGACGAACTCGAAGGGATGATCAGGGTAACGCAGGCTATCACCACTCTTCTTCATCTGCATTACCAGTGTGAGCCTATGTCGCCTGTCCTCCACAGAACCAGATGCCACGCCGCGAACTGCTAGTTCATAGGCGAGTTCGTCCTTCTCCAAACGATTTATCGTAATTCTCCGTGACTTTCTGAGAGATATAATCGAAGGAGAACCAATAATTCACACTGAATTCGAATCAGAAACTCACAATAAGCACCACTTGAAACACACACCACACGACACTTGAAAAACACCCCACAGCAGAACGTAAAAATAACTAATAGTTATTTATTTAATAAGGATCATAAAGACGATCATTATGGTACAAGTCGTGAATGTTATCGGGCGAGGCGTAGCCGAGTCCGATAACACGGCGTGTGCCATAATGATTGTTTATGATTCGTATTACATACAAAATTTTATCTGATGGCATTTATATCAATACATTTTCGAAAAATTAAAAACGGCATTCTCGACATGTCACAATGACAACTATTTTCAAAGGAGTAAGTATTGTATAGTTTCAAATATTAGTAGGTGAGTGAGCTGTGCTTTGCCATTATATCAATATTACAAATTGTAGTAATTGTTCTTTTACCATTTATAATAAATAGTTTTGTACATAGTTATGCATTTTGAATAAACTTTTTTGATCAAACCATTACATGTTTTCCTTATAGAATCTCATTATGGTACTTAGTACCATAATGAGCTTCCTTATGTCATCAAAATTGAGTGACATAACGTTGTCATTATGATATGTCATCAGGTAAATATTTTATCGTCTCTCAGGGGGTGGGTCAGAATGTAGCAAGTCTCATACACCAGTGAAAAGGCGCCAGAAACTTATCCACACTGACTTGGATGAATTTCCCTGCTCAGAAATGAATGAAAAACTCAGTCAAAACAATTACATCTATTGAATGAATTTGTACATAATGATGGGTATCAACTAATGAATGAATTATTATTCACAATGTTTTCTTCACAATGCAAAACTCTCAAACTACTGCTTTTTATCCTGGATCTGAGCGTTACCTGGCTATAGGACCTCATCCAGTTCTCATCCCAACTCCTTCACCTTGGTCAATTTTATACCATACAGGGTGTTTGTAGTGGTATTCCCTATGTAGACATAACGTTCCTGGTTTATTGACCCATCAGAGGACTTGGTAGTTGTGGTTAGAGATGCCTGGTAGTTCTAACAAGTCCTTTGGAGATCTCAGCAGACAAAAGTGATGATATAGGTGCCAGTCAGTTACATGAAATAGTTGAAAAAAAAAACATCAAAGGTCAGTAGGGAGTCTTGAAGTAATATGTGAAGTGGAAAATATATAAATGAATAATAAACTACCTATATTTACATGGAAAATATGATTCCTAAACCTATATAATCGTCAGTAGGCAGTCTTGGAGTAATATGTGAAGTGGGAAATACAGGGTGTTTCATAATTGAATGTCAATATTTGAGGAGGCGATTCTCGGGCCAATTCTAAGAATGAAGTTTCATATGAACGTATGACCTAAACGTCCTAACTTTTGAGATACAGGGTGGTAAAGTTCTCAAAAATTAATAGTTTTTTATCAATATCTGTAATACTACTTCAGATATTCTAATGAAATTTGGCATACATGTACTATGTATCAAGAGGCATCAGTAAGTGTACCACATTTTTGTTGGTTGCCACCAGTGGCGTTCGTATGGAATTTCACATACCTATTTTGGCAGACATTGATGGTACGCCACTGATTAATCTCGAAATTGAAATCTTTAATGAAATTCCCAATCGTTTCTTAGCAAACTTGATCACTACAATTCTTTCGATCTGATGCACGGTTTTCGCTTAAAAAAATAAAAAGCTTTTCACTACATGATTATAACAATATCGTTAATATGACAATATCACAATGCAGAGGAATAGATTTGATTTTTTAGATCAATTTCCAGAGATACAATTCATCGTTTATGAACTTCCTATTCGTATTTGGTATTTTGGAATTATTTCTTTTCATTGTAGTAGGCTATATTAATTTTTGAGAACTTTACCATCCTGTATCTCAAACGTTAGGACGTTTAGGTCATACGTTCATATGAAATTTTCTTCTTAGAAGGGGCCCGAGAATCGCCTCTTCAAATATTGACATTCAATTAGGAAACACCCTGTATATACAAAATCAATGATAATGATAATGAATAATAAACTACCTATATTTACATAGAGAACAGGATTATTAAACCTATATAATCTTCTTAACACGTTTTTAGGTAAATTCTCAGATGAATATTCAACTTATTCCAATTTGAATGCTTGAAAAACTACAAATTGATATAATTTAGATTGACAATTAATCAAAATGGAAGATAGAAAATGGAATGTTGAATCTCCCTTGTCATTGATAAGTTTGTATGTTTAGATATTGAAAATTATCCAAATTATCAATAATGAAAATAGAAAATAGATTACTCAATTCCTCATGAAATGAAAAAATTTAGATATGTTTGATAATTGAATATTATCAAAATTATCAATAATCATCATAAGAAAATCAATGAAATAAGAAAATTGTTCATCAGTAACAAATATCTGAATGTCAAAAATCTGATTTACTTGCAATCAAAATTATTAACTTCTACACCAAAAGATAGAGAATACTCAGATATTATCAATAGTGATAATAACGATATACTAAGCAATATAGAGATAATAATATCACAGATACGTAGGAATCAAGTCTGATGCAAATTATGTATGATCCAATCGATAATATTTTAACAAGAGAATATTGATGCAAATTGTATATAATCAAATGTATAATTCACAAAAAGAGAAAAAAAATTCAACTCTAATGTAAGATTACAAGTTTTTCAGCTAATGGACAACTTGTAGGTAGAGTAAAATGTTTCCCAAAATTATGGTATATAACCCAGAAAATACTTGAGAAGTATAATAGAAAAATCTTACTCACTCTTCAAGTTGATGGAGCTTTCACTTCCATGAACTGACAACCTCCACTTTCCACTTTTCGTCCTCGTTTCGTTAGATTCTGCGATAAGATACCCAAAAATATGGCAGGGCCTCTAATAATAGGATATACTGCATCGAAGAACTTCAAAGATGGCTAAAACCAAAATACGAACACGAGAAAGAAAATGTTTGGTTGAGCTGTAGATAAAATAAAAATCATAAAAATATCATCAACATCAGTGATGTACGAATCAAAAATTCTGAATAATCATTTATGAATATAAATCCAATGAATGATTGCCCTTATTCAAGAAGATTACGATTATCAAATAGGCTCATAAAATGGCCGCCAATCAAACTCTACATTTATATTATGCTATGATATTCATATTCTGAAAAATATATTAATCAAAGAACTACTAATAATTGCAATAATTAATTAGTCATGATATTTTCAAAATGATTCGATCATACCAATTTCTCACCGACCTGTGTTATACGTTATGAACTGTTCTCTTTGGTGGTTCTGGCGAGAAAAAGGATTTTTGAGTTCTTCGTCAACCTTCTCCTTTTTTCGATTCGCAGCGCACTCTTCATATCGATAATATCGACGAACAGTTAGATTTTGTCCAAGCTAATTCTATTTCAGCAGATTCAAGCTACCTGTGTTATCGTTGAAGTTGCGCTACCATTCGATAGATGACACAAATGGTATTGAAATTGATTTTAAAGACATTCAGATATTTGTTGCAGATTTGGTGTCAGATAAATTTGATAGATATAATTCAGATTTCAACTATAGACTATAGGCAATGATTCGGAAATTGTATGAAGATACATTGATAATATGATAATTGATTGAAATTATTATGCAAAAAATATAATTATAAATGGAATGATTATGAAATCATTACAAATGATACTTGTAATTGACTCAATGAGAACAGTATTTCTTTTTCCGCGGTCGAAATACTGGTATATACAATGTTAATGAAAAAAAAACACGATTTCAAATGATTGATTTTTTTGATTTACTTATGGCCCCACCTTGGACAAAATCATAACATAGGTCATGATTATTGATGACTCTATTTTTGAATGATTCCACGAGAGAATAGTGAAGCTGGTATAAGGTGTGCCATACTTCAGAAATCAAGCGACTCACCTCCACACCGAAATGAATAAAGTATTTACTCCAGTTGCCCTAAGAAATACGGTCCTAACTAAAAATCACAATCTCAAATTGATTACTTTCGATTCTCGGAGGGTTTCAAGCTGGGGGATCGTCAATAAGTCAGCGTCTTGTCTTCACGTCCGACTACCCCAATGAAGTTGACCTCCAACGAAATGATTTCGACAAATCCAGTTGCTTTCGTCAATCCATGCGTAACTCCTACAATCCAAAAGAGATAATGAAGTCGCTATTACATCACAAGATTGAGGAAATTCGATGAAACGTAACTGAACAAAGACTACTTACATGAAAATTGTCAATGATCCTCAACCAAGAATGAACTGTTCTGACTCAGACTGACAGATCTGCCTGCAACAGTCTAGGGAGTTTTAATAACCGGAATTCTTTGGGATTGATCATTTGATGAGATGTTATTTCCACAACACATCTCCACAGTTCGATAGCCGTTGTCATCACAGATACGATTTTCAGCTATTCTTTCAATAGTCCATGAAAAGGATCAACAAAAACAAAAAACGCAACGAAGATTCTCCAACTTTGTAAATTACATTGGGAAGGCTCATAGGAAACATTGAAATCAAATAGGTTAGCTATCAAATATAGGCCTATAAGGTAATAACATCAGGAGAATACCTATACATTAGTGTAAATCAAGTTCACCAGCTCTAGAATGCATAATCTAAACTACTGTTCTTTCGTGTCAGATGACCATTTGTAACTGACGACAAAAGCCAATGAACAAATTGGAAAAATCAACCCAACAAACTACTATTGGATCAAACCAGGACAAAATATCAATTGATCGTTATGTAGTACCATTAACAGGGTATTGCAGCTGCTTTCGCGATAAAAGTTCACACCAGCCGAGATGTGAGCGTGATGAATAAACATACTATATCAATTCGATTCAAGAAAAAACCCAACAATGTTATACAATTTTTATCCTTGCTTGATTGCTTATAGATTTTCAGTAGAAATTTTGAACTTTACAAGTTCTTCTTCGGATTTGGCATGAATCAAGATTTTAGCCATAGAACATTGTGTATGAGGCATATTTCCAAGGAGAAAGCTCATCAGTTCCTGAAATATCCAGAAGCTGAACAGATACCAAATGGTGGTCTAGTACAGAAGAATCGTCCCCATGGTGTTGGAAATGATCAATACTTCTGAGTAGGTTCTGACACTTGTATTTGCCAAAATTCACGCTTGCAACCGAGTATGGTGATATATTCAAATCCGGTAACAACTGCTGATATTCTTCCTGAAGTTTTGAGAGGATAATGTCATTTTTGGATATTTTTGTTAAGGTCGGTAGGATCCATACAGATTCTGATTTAATCCTTCTCACGCAAAACAACCATAGGGGTTCACTCCTTCATTTGCTTCAATACGTCAAGTTCAACCATTTGTCGAGTTCCTATCTGACTGTATCTCTGAGAAAATAAGGATTTCTTCTGGCAGGTCATATATTGAACTGAGGGAAAACGTGATTTTTTAGACAACCTTGACCTTGAAAAATATCTTCCTCTTTCCTAATTCTACTTGTTTGTTGCTCGCTTTTCGACAAACAACGAGGGGAAAAATAACCTTTGATATCACATTTTTCGCATTTTTTACCAAATGCTGGATATATTTCCTCATGAGTGGTACCACAACGTTACCATTGAAAAGCTTTGTCTTTATCATGATCACTGTGTTTGTGGTAATACATCATAGAATGAATCCTACTTGTATCTGGAATTCGTATTTCTTCTAGTTGTTCCAAAGTCTGTTCACTGCATCGACAAATCGAAAAAGCTTTGGCTCAAGTTTCGTTTAGCTGAAATCAGCTATGAAAAAAACTTTTACCATGGCAAGGATCAACATGGTAACGAGTAAACAAAAACCTGATTCTCGTGGTGAGAAAATGCGTGGTCGCCAAGTTGTTTCGGGTTTAGTTTGGCTGAAATCAGTGATGAAAAAACTATTGCATGGCAACGATCGTCATGGTAACGACTGAACAAAAATCCGATTCTCGTGGTGAGGAAATGCTTGATTATCAAGTTTTATCGAAGAAATATTGCTTTATTCATTAATTCCAAAGACAATCTTCAATGCAACCATCCTTCGCGTGCCATGCTATTCGAAAACATCGAAAAGAAACAGAGCCATTTTGAAATATTCATTACGAGGTATCGCACAAGATATAGAAAAAATGACACGGGTACTGGTTGCCTAATACAGATGGGAACATATCGTTAGGCCCACATTTCGAACTACCCACATTTCTATTTGCTTTTCATTCTGATACTCCACGCGCACATTTTGATTCAGCCACAGTCTTCGAACACACGAATGATACCTTGCTATCAAATCTGATTTATGTTGGAGAATATGATTCTTTCAAGGAGAAGGATCATTTAGGCCGAGTCAGTTCAGATTGTTCAGAAAAAGTAGTGTCCTTTTTTATGCAGGAAGGATATATTCCTTCCTCCCTGAAAAAAGTACCTGCTGTTTTCTCATGAAGAAGATTCATTCAGGTCGACTTAGGTTAGATTGTCCAAAAGAAGGAGTGTTTATGCAATACGGCTTTTGCCACCAAAGATTTTCTGGAGATCTACTTGCCTACGTCACCCATTCATGGCAAGCTTCATTAGAAAAACACGGGGAATCTCAAGCTGTCGCGTTGGACATATCGAAAGCATTCGACCGTGTTTGGCACGAAGGACACCTCCACAAACTTTCATCATACGGCTTATCACCTCAGCTTTACCTCGCTTCATGTGGTGGTGGACGGGGTATCGTCTGATACAATTGGCATCAATTCGGGCGCTCCATAAGGATCAATTTTGGCACCATCATTATTTCTTCTTCATATCAATGATCTGTTGGGAATAACAACTTGCCCCATCCACAGCTTTGCCGATGATAGTAACCTCCATACTGCGTTCTCTTCCAGAATTCCCGTTTCTTTCCAAGAAACTGAGAACTCACGGCGCAGGCAGGTCAATGCTGTCAATGAAGACCTTGCTGAAATCACAGCTTGGGGAACCAACAACCTAGTTGAATTCAACGCCAGCAAAACTCAAGCCTGTATTTTCTCTAGAAAGGCGGAACTCAGTATGCACGACATTGTAATGTCTGGCACCACCATTTTCACCAAGTTCACTATATCTATGCTCGGTATTTCCATCAGCAACACTCTTTCATGGGATAATCATGTCAGATCCATCGCAAAAGCTGCTTTACGAAAACTCGGATTCTTGTTCAGTGCGAAAAGCTACTTTACACCTCAACAGCTCCTCATGATCCACAAAGCGCAGATACGGCCTGTTCTAGAATACTGTTCCCACATATGGGGTTCAGCACCGAAACATACGCTGATGCTCTCAGATTCCATCCAGAGAAGAGCCATCCGCCTGGTGATTGACGCCACACTCCCTCACTCACTCTTTGACATCATTGGATCACCGTAGAAAGGTCGGCGACCTTTCACGTTCCTATCGATACTTCCACGGGAAATGTTCTTCGAGAATCTCTGCTATCATCCCTTCACAAGCAATACTAGTCAGACGAACTGGACAAGCCCAGTCAGCACATTCTTTCGTTGTCAACTCCGGAAGATTTCGAACAGCACTTTATCAAAACAACTTCATCCATAGAACGGCTAGGCTCTGGAATTCATTGCCTGAGGAAGTATTCCCAACAAAATGTAATCCCCAGAAGTTAAAAAAAAATCCAATACCTACCTCCTATCCCTATCCTCCCTAGGAACGCACGATGTTCTTGGAACATAATAGGGATTCCCTTCCGTGCGGTCCAAGCGATAAAAAAAGAGGGATGATATTCTTCCTTCCTGGAAAGATTACCTACTGTCTTCTTAGGAAGTAGGTTCATTCAGGTCGAGTAAAGTTAGATGGGTGAAAAAAATTAGTGGTTATGCAGGAGGGATATTTTCCTTCCTCCCTGGAAGAAGTACCTACTTTCCCCTTTGGAAGAAAGTTTATTTCGGTCAAGTAAGTTTGAATGATTCAAAGAAAGTAGTATTTATGCAGGAGGGATAATTTCCTACTTCCCTGAAGAGAGTACCTACTGTCTTCTTAGGAAGAAGGTTCAAATAGGCCGAGTAAGGTTAGATGGTTCAAAAAAAGTAGTATTTATGCAGGAGGGGTATCTTTCTTCCTTACAGAAAATGAGACTGTGGAGGCATTTACTGTTGAGGAGAGTTTTGAAAAAATATTTTCGATAGTGAAAGGATCGTTTTGACCGAGTTGTTTCAAAGGATGCTGATTTTTGATCAGATTAGGTCAAGTTAGCAGAATCAAATAACCCATGAATATCAACTACTTGATAAGAAATATCTATTGGGACACAAGATACTTACTTGGATTCTATCTGAGGAGACAAGTTGCTATTTTTAACCCATGTACCTCATTAATATATCTCCAAATCTGTTTCTCTGAAATAATAATAGGAAGATGGCTCAACCAGGTTCTTGTGTTCCTTGAATTTTGACTTGCAATGAGGTCTCACTGGCACCAAACCTTGACTCACAAAAAATTTCATAACTGTCCTTATGATTTCTCAAACGGTGTGAATCTTTGAAATGGTTTTTGTATACTCGTTACCATGACGATCATTGCCATAGCAACTGATTTTTCAAAGTTGATTCCAGCTAAACTAAACACGATTCAACTTGGCAACCACGCTTTTCCTCACCATAGCATTTGAATTTTTGTTTACCTAATACCATGACAACGGTTGTTATGGCATTATTTTTTCCACAACTGATTTCAGCTATAGTGTACCCTATACAACTTCGCAACCACGCATTTCCTCACCACGGGAGTTTGTTTTCTGTTAACTGGTGAACATGACAACGGTCACCATAGCAAAAAAATTCCATAACTGATTCCAGCTAAACGAAACTCGAACCATAGCTTTATTCAGATTAGGATTTTCTCCATTCGATAGTTTCTCTCTAATAATATAAGATTCTAAGCCGAATACTAATTTATGTTTTAATAGACTATCTTGTTATTCTCCGAATTCACGAGTAATCACTTGAGTTCAGATTCTTGTCAAGAATTCATCAAAAACTTTATCCTTTTGTTGTACAATTTTGAAGAACTGATAGCGCTCGAATGATATATTCACTCTTGGGGTGGAATAGTCTTGATGTTTCTTCTTGATTACATTCCAGTCTTTCTGCTCTTCGTTCGAGAGGTTGAACGTGTCAAAAATCTGGATAGCATCTGGTCCAGTGATTGCCATAAATGTTGCTGCCTAAACTTCTCGAAACTTCTTCATCAACTGAGTAGCTACAGCATACCACTCGAGTTGTTGGATATAGTTTTTCCATATCACTGCCATATTCTTAGTAGATATAAACAAATTTTTGGGTGGTCGAGTACCTGATACCCCCGTAACATCGTATGATTGCGTGTCTGGAGGATTTGACATTTTTTGTCAAGAACTCGCCCAAACTTTTTCTAATTCCTAGCAATTCTCAAAATTGGATCTCTCCGTGATAAACATTATTCTGACTACATATAATATCTCTAGATATTTGAATAGTGATCTTGTGGTATCATGACATCAACTTCATTTATTGTCTAGTTGACAATCACTTTCCGTGACATGAATACCTATCATCAAGTATCATGATATATATAATGTTATAATATTCCATTCGAATAGCGAACTCTGAACTTCGTATATTTTTGTAACATAGCTGTACTGATGTGCATTTCTTCTCATCTCATCAAGAACTTGATAAGAATTAATCCTATCTCAAACCATACCTACACATCACTATCAACGAATGACCTTGTCTGTATAACCTGCACAATACATTCTTTCAGCAGTGATGATATGATTGACCAGTCGCATTCATTCGAAGAACGCCCTAATCGGTATAGAATGTAATTGTACATTATATGTATATCCTTCACTCGATTTCTGATGATAATGAATGAACCAATAATACTGAATCTGTGAATAATCGAGTATGTTTACTTATATATTTCCTTTCTTCGTGTTTTCACATCCCTACCTCACAACTTTCAGACAAGATTTTTTGTCAAACGCAGAGTTCCTAGTGATCGAAAAATACCTTATTGTCTCAAAATTCAATTTGTTCTCGACAATGCCTGATGGCTGTGTTGAATAACGTTGTCGTTTCTTCTGAAGCAAGTTCATAAGGTATACGGTTAGTGATTTCACATTCTGAAATTCATGATCTTTCTCTTATCTCTACTTTTAAGAGGTTGGACATTCAAGCACAGTGATATTCTGGGGAAAAGAACGAAGACAACAAATCAGAAAAATCGAGAAAAATTAACTTTCTACCTCCTAGATGAACCTACAGACAATGTTTAATGCTATTACTATTAGGTACATGTTCTCATTCATATCATACATGTTCTTATCTTCATAATTTCATGAAAGAATTATCAAGTTTCAATGAGAAGCCTACTCATTATTCCAAATTTTTTGGGATTTTCTCTCCTCGTTTCTATAAAATAAAAATATGGATATTATTTCAATATACGTGTAGTAAGGACAAATCAGATGATTTGCCCCAAAATGTCACTGCGTTTAAAGAATTTTCCTATCAGAGAGCCTAAAAGAAAAATTCACTAGCTTGTCAGTGACAATTTGTATTGAAAAAATTTTTAGAGAAGGGAAATAAAGGTATATAGAAAAAATATCAAATTTTCACTTATCTTTGGACGTTTCGGGACCGGTTCTGCTCCCGTTTTCAACATAAGAAGAGATTATTTCAATAGCGAAGTCGTATAATGTCTTGAAGCTTTTCAGTTTTCAATGACAATTGGTGACGTTGAAAACTGAAAAGCTTCAAGACATTATACGACTTCGCTATTGAAATAATCTCTTCTTATGTTGAAAACGGGAGCAGAACTGGTCCCGAAACGTCCAAAGATAAGTGAAAATTTGATATTTTTTCTATATACCTTTATTTCCCTTCTCCAAAAATGTTTTCAATACAAATTGTCACTGACAAGCTAGTGAATTTTTCTTTTAGGCTCTCTGATAGGAAAATTCTTTGAACGCAGTGACATTTTGGGGCAAATCATCTGATTTGTCCTTACTACACGTATATTGAAATAATATTCATATTTTTATTTTATAGAAACGAGGAGAGAAAATCCCAAAAAATTTGGAATAATGAATATACCACCTCCTCGATTAACCTACAGACAGTATTTGAGAAGCCTACTGTTCACCAACTGTCAGAGGTGATTTAAAACCTTCAATAATTCAATAGTAGGCTGTATTTCAATCTCTTTCAGAATGATTATTTCCTGACACAAGAAATTGAGGATCTTCTAAAGAAACATTTACTCATTATATTGAAACATCATGTATCAGTTTGAACCTCGAAATGTTTTGATTTAAGAATAAAATTGTTCAACCATGATTGAAGATTAACTTGACAATAGATAAAGTTTCATGTTTCAAACCAACTGATTCTTGCTTCGACCAATGCGATCTGTGATAATGAAGGAAGTTCTATAAAAAAATCAAACAAATCTTCGAGGGCGTCATATGATTGAATCGATGCTGTTTTACATCAAATCAAGAAATGCATCTCATCTGTGTAGTAAGAGTACATAAATGGCAACAGTCATCAGTTTTGGGCATAGATTTTATTGTTTCAGTTGTCATTTTTGAAACATAAATAGGTTTCTGTTTTAAGCGTTTTCAATTGAGAACATAAAAACTTCAGAGAATAATATGAAATATTTGGTGAGTCGTGTTGAATCGTTACCCTGATGAAAAATGTTGCTTTCAGGTCCATTTTGAGGAAAGGAGGTAATGCAGTGGACGCAGCCATAGCAGCATTATTTTGCGAAGGAGTAGCTATGCCGGAATGCATGGGATTAGGAGGTGGATTTCTGTTGACCATGTACAACAAGACCACTGGAGAAGTTTGGTCACTGAATGCCAGAGAAGCTGCACCTAGGTTAGCTACCGAGGACATGTTCGTGGGACAACCAGCCAATGCTTCGTGGCGAGGTAGGAAGTCTGCTTTCCAGATAATACGAACAATCGATACAAAAGTCGCAAAACGAGAACGCTCTATTTTCGGAATTCAGGTTATTGAAGTTGACATACATACATACATACATACATACATACATACATACATACATACATACATACATACATACATACATACATACATACATACATACATACATACATACATACATACATACATACATACATACATACATACATACATACATACATACATACATACATACATACATACATACATACATACATACATACATACATACATACATACATACATACATACATACATACATACATACATACATACATACATACATACATACATACATACATACATACATACATACATACATACATACATACATACATACATACATACATACATACATACATACATACATACATACATACATACATACATACATACATACATACATACATACATACATACATACATACATACATACATACATACATACATACATACATACATACATACATACATACATACATACATACATACATACATACATACATACATACATACATACATACATACATACATACATACATACATACATACATACATACATACATACATACATACATACATACATACATACATACATACATACATACATACATACATACATACATACATACATACATACATACATACATACATACATACATACATACATACATACATACATACATACATACATACATACATACATACATACATACATACATACATACATACATACATACATACATACATACATACATACATACATACATACATACATACATACATACATACATACATACATACATACATACATACATACATACATACATACATACATACATACATACATACATACATACATACATACATACATACATACATACATACATACATACATACATACATACATACATACATACATACATACATACATACATACATACATACATACATACATACATACATACATACATACATACATACATACATACATACATACATACATACATACATACATACATACATACATACATACATACATACATACATACATACATACATACATACATACATACATACATACATACATACATACATACATACATACATACATACATACATACATACATACATACATACATACATACATACATACATACATACATACATACATACATACATACATACATACATACATACATACATACATACATACATACATACATACATACATACATACATACATACATACATACATACATACATACATACATACATACATACATACATACATACATACATACATACATACATACATACATACATACATACATACATACATACATACATACATACATACATACATACATACATACATACATACATACATACATACATACATACATACATACATACATACATACATACATACATACATACATACATACATACATACATACATACATACATACATACATACATACATACATACATACATACATACATACATACATACATACATACATACATACATACATACATACATACATACATACATACATACATACATACATACATACATACATACATACATACATACATACATACATACATACATACATACATACATACATACATACATACATACATACATACATACATACATACATACATACATACATACATACATACATACATACATACATACATGTAATGTTATAGTAGAGTATAATCTCTGTATAATCTGATGTTGCTATAGTAATGAGTATTATTAGAATTAATTGTATAATAAATATTGAACATCTGTACCTTTCTATCAGAATATTTCTGATTAGTATTACAAATGGCGCAGTCGGGTGAAAATTTGAATCCTACGTTTGCTAGAGTGGATTATGATGAAATACAAGGATCCGGAGATGAGCAAAGTAAAATAGTTTTTGGAAAATTCGAATTGGATCATCTAATGTCAAAATGGATGTCAGCTTTATCTAGGAAAACTGAACCAAATCTCATACAGTTCAAAGGTCCCGATGAAAACCCAAATACATGGATGAACAGTTATGAATATCTATGTATTTCCAATCAGTGGAACTCGGATGCTGACAAAATATTCAATTTAAGAAGCTATCTAACCGGAACTTCATTGCATTGGTATGAGGACAGAATTCGGACCAGAAATATGAACCAATTCACCTGAAATGACTGGAAATCATGTTTCATCAAAACATTTGATGAAAACGTTTTGATAAAATGGAAAAAAGCACTATTTTATAAATTCTACCAGGGAAGTACGCTAGAATACTTCTATGAAAAGCAAAGACTATTGTATTGGGCTGACGAAAATTTATGTGAAAAATCTATAATTTCTTCAATTATACTGGGTTTACCTTCACACATCCAGAATCAGATAAACGGTAGATTGATAAATTCCAAAGAAGAGCTCTTACACACATTGAAATCCCTGAAAACGTTCAATAGAGCATCCAACAACCATCAGTTTAGACCAGGAGTGAACAAAAATAGTCAAGTTGGCATGGAAGTAGAGCAGAGTAATGGAATAGTGGAGAAGAGACAAGAAAGAAGAAATGAAACAAATAATTATTATAAAGATAAACAGCCAGTGAATAATAATTTTTATAGTTCTTTGGAAGACGAAATAGAAAATGTTGAAATTTATATGAATTATTCTACATATGGAGATAATGAAAATCGAAATGTAAAACTTGTGAAGGTCAATGATGATATGGTCAAGGTCTTACTTGATACTGGATCCGATATAGACTTAGTTAATGAAGACTTAGTCATCAGAAATCAATTCCCCATGCATAAAACCAATATTTGTATCAGAAGTTTAGCTGGGATGACAAAATGTTTATATAAATCTGAGATGACTATTGAAATCAACGGTGAGATTATAACGATCATGCCTGCTGTAGTGAAAGATTTGTGTTTTGGAATTATAATTGGACAAAGCAGTTTGAATAAATTAAATATTTTCCAAATGAATGTGAACTCAAAATCAACCCAAATTGACTTTGAGGAGACAAATTTTATAAAAATGTTCCCAAATCTGCTGAACCATCTGGACAAAAAACCTTCAGTACATGAAATTGATTTCAATTTAAAACCAAACCCAAATATAATAAGATTGAAACCGTATCGATATCCACCAAATAAAAGGTTATGGATAACTGATAAAATCAGCGAATTACTTGAAAAGGACATCATCAGAAAGTCAACATCACCTTATGCATCCCCTTGTGTTTTAAAAACTGAAAGTGATGGTAATTTTCGTCTATGCATCGACTACAGGAAGATAAACGATGAAACTGAATTAGATCCATTTCCCTTTCCCCTTGCAGATGATATAATAGAAAAATTTGGTGGATGCAAGTATTTCACCAAATTAGATTTGAAGGATGGTTTCTGGAACATAAGCATTTCAGAATATACACGAAAATTTACAGCATTTGTGACACAAGAAGGACACTATGAGTTCAACCGCCTCCCATTTGGTTGGAAGAATTCAAGTGCAAAATTCCAACGTATTATGCAAGACATTCTTCAAGACCTCCTATCTGAAAAAGTTATAGTTTTAATAGATGATATAATGTGTGGTGGATATACTTATGATGAATGCAGTATGTTAACTAAAGAAATTTTAAGACGATTAGATAACAACAACATGAAAATTAATCTGAAGAAATGTGAATTCTGTGTATCCAAAGTTATATTTCTTGGCAGAGAAATTGACGGTGATACGAAAAAATTGAAATCTGAGATTGTTGAAGAAGTGAAATCAATGAAAAGACCCAAGGACTTGAAATCGATACAATGCTTCACTGGACTAACCAACCACTTTCGGAGTATTATAAAAAATTATGGACACATTGTGAGGCCTTTAGATGAACTGAAACAGAAAAACAAAAAATTCGTTTGGACTGATGAATGTGAGAAATCTTTTAAAACTTTGATCAATCTCATCACCTCGAAACCTATTCTGAGGATCCCAGACCCACGTTTTAAGTTTGAACTCTCTACAGATGCCTCATACTATGGTTGTGGTGCGGTACTTTATCAACGAGATACTGAGGAGATCAAAAGTAGACAGCTTAGAGTAGTTTCTTATTATTCATATACTTTTTCGAAAAGTGAACAAAATTACTCTGTAACTGAAAAAGAGTGCCTGGCTGTGGTAAAAGCAGTTAAATACTTTCGGACTTATTTAGAAGGAAAACGATTCATTGTGCATACCGATCATCAAGCTTTAAAGTATGTTTTAACATCAGGAACTCTTAAAGATAGACTAGCTAGATGGCAAATTTTCTTAACTGCTTTTGACATGGAAATAAATCATAATTCAGGAAAAGAAATGAAAGATGCTGATGCTATTTCTCGGTTATGTATTGATATTCCTGACGATGTCAATGATCTTTTCTGGTGTCATTTGAATATCCAAAATTTAGAGTTGATGGATGATGGGCGATATTCAGTCAAAACCAATGATCTGAAAAAAGAGATTTTAGAATCCTATCATGATGACTGTGATTCTGGTGGTCATGATGGGTATTATAAAACGTATTATAAAATAAGTAAGAGATTTTATTGGAAAGGGATGAGTAAAGACATTAAAAATTATATTCATACATGTGACATTTGCCAACGAGTAAAGTTCAAGTACTTACCGAAACCTGACTTTGTTCACTTAACTTCTACTTCCCAGACTCCATATGAGACAATACATGTTGATTTTGCCGAACTCTCCAAGAAATCAGATGTGAAGAAATCTACCAGATCATTCATAGTTGTTATTGACGAAGGTACTCGACATATTTCTGCGAAGGCTATGAAGGAAAGTGGAATAGCCTTGAAAAATTACTTTAGTCAATTTCCATTCAAGGATAAAATAAAAAACATTGTAACGGATCGTGGAGCAGCATTTACA